CAGTGGGATTGGATTCAATGCCCAAAAAGATCACAGAAACCCCTGTCAGATGCCATAACAGCCTACACGGATGCGGGAAGAAAATCCAGAATTGCTGCAGTGACCTGGCAGGAAAAGGGACAATGGCACTATCAGATTCTCCAGGCCTCTGAATTGGATACTTTACAAACGATGGAGTTATTGGCTGTTGTTTGGGCCATGATGCATTTTTCCGGGCCCCTCAATATAGTGACAGATTCTTTGTGTACGTTACAAGAGTATGTGAGCAAATAGAAGATGCCTCTATAAAAGAGGTTCAAAACAGGAGGTTACATGAACTGTTTATACAGTTACAGAGGGCAATTAAGCTGAGAAAGTATCCTTTCTCTGTCATTCATAGCAGAAGTCATAAGTGGGATATTGGCCTAGGAGAGGGTAACGCACAAGCAGATAAGCTAGTCTCAATCACACGGCCCAGACACAAGTAGCCGCTGTCAACACCTCAGCCCAGCTGCACTCCAGCCAGCCACTGCCGGGAGCCTCGGGCTGGACGTGGCAGCCTCAGTAGAGGTAACACTGATGACCACCCAACCGGAAAAGGTGCCGACTGGAATAAAGGGACCAATCATCATTGATGATGGTCCTATGGGAGCTTTGCTTCTGGGACGATCGTCGGCCACCATGATGGGATTATTTGTTTTAACTGGAGTAATAGACGCTGATTATACGGGGGAAATTTGTGTCATGGTACATACTCCTTTTCCACTGATACAAATAGAGAAAGGGCAGAGGATAGCCCAATTGGTTCCATTGGAGCAGATTGCTAAAACGTTGCCCCCTCGTCAATTACTGTCAAGGGGAGAACAAGGCTTTGGTTCCACTGGAGGACTTACTTTATTAACAATGAATTTGAATGATCGGCCTAAGTGCACTGTAATAATAGAGCATCTGGCGGGGAGACAAACCTTGGAAGGTTTATTAGATACTGGTGCGGACTCCAGCATTATTAGTCCAGATTGCTGGCCTCACAACTGGCCATTACAGCCAACCACAATGACAGTGACCGGGGTTGAGGGCCTAACACTTGCAAGAAAGTCACCCATGTTGTCTGTAACTATTAATGGAAAAACTTTATGGAATGTTTTTTCAATTATAACTTTACCCCTACTATGCGGTGTCTCATTGGTCGGGACATTCTGGCTCAATTGGGAATAGTGCTGACAAATGAGCACCCTTTGGGCTAGTGGCCATTGCGTGGACTTCCCCAATCCCGCTGACCTGGACCACGGATGTCCCAGGTTTGCTTTTACTTTACTGGCTTTAAATAGGAAAGAGCCAGATAAGAGGTTTGAATGGGTTAATCTTCCACAGGGTATGAGAGACAGCCCCACCTTGTGTCAATTGTATGTTGACAATGCTTTACAACCTTTACAGCAAGCCTGGTCCGAAACCATCATTTATCATTATATGGACAATATTCTATTTGCTCAGCAGCAACCTTTTACAGGTCAACAAATTCAAAAAATACATGATGCTCTGAAACTACATGGGTTGGTTGTAGCTCCTGAAAAAATTCAGCTATCTGCACCCTGGAAGTATCTAGGATGGACACTTACTGGTCAGGTTGTTATCCCCCAGAAACTGCAATTAAACATTGAAATACATACATTGCATGATGCCCAAAGGTTACTTGGTGATCTACAATGGCTGCGCCCTATTGTGGGCATCCCGAATGAGCTATTAGATAAACTTCGACCTTTACTAAAATGAACCAATCCGGCACAGCCTGTTCATATAACCTCTGAGCAGGTTAGGACATTACAACAGATACTGGACTGTGTGACACAGGGCAGTGTCCAGCGACGAGACCTTAACCTCCCTATACAGCTGACAGTTTGGTGTGGAACTAAATACTTACTAGGTGCACTTACTCAGCAAAACAGAAAAATGGGGGAGGCGTGGGCCTTGGAATGGATATCTCCTCCACTTCAACAGCATAAGACCCTTCTTCAAAAAATCGAAATTTTGTCTGATTTGCTCAAGAAGGCTTGTGAACTACAGATCATGGGAAAGGAGCCTGATCAGATACGGGTACCAATGAAGAAAGATACATTGACCTGGTACCTGATAAACAGTATGGAATTACAAGAGGCACTGTTGGGAGCCGGAAGTGTGATTGCCACTGATGATATCCCCAATATACCGTTGAATTGGATAGGACAGTGGGGTTGGATTCAATGCCCAAAAAGATCACAGAAACCCCTGTCAGATGCCATAACAGCCTACACGGATGCGGGAAGAAAATCCAGAATTGCTGCAGTGACCTGGCAGGAAAAGGGACAATGGCACTATCAGATTCTCCAGGCCTCTGAATTGGATACTTTACAAACGATGGAGTTATTGGCTGTTGTTTGGGCCATGATGCATTTTTCCGGGCCCCTCAATATAGTGACAGATTCTTTGTGTACGTTACAAGAGTATGTGAGCAAATAGAAGATGCCTCTATAAAAGAGGTTCAAAACAGGAGGTTACATGAGCTATTTATACCATTACAGAAGGCAATTAAGCTGAGAAAGTATCCTTTCTCTGTCATTCATAGCAGAAGTCATAAGTGGGATATTGGCCTAGGAGAGGGTAACGCGCAAGCAGATAAGCTAGTCTCAATCACACGTGACTCCAATTCCCAGGCAGATTATGGCCAGAGAGGCGCACTCCATGTTTTACCAAAATGCAAAGGGCCTCCATAGAGAATTTCAGATATCTATGGAAGAGGCACGGGCAATAGCCAAAGCCTGTCCCATATGTAGTCATTATAATGGGGGCTGAGGGTTGGGTCTAGGAGTTAACCCCAGAGGGCTGAATACAAATGAGACCTGGCAAATGGATGTCACACATGTTGCTGAGTTTGGAAGGATAAAGTATGTGCATGTTACTATAGACACCTATAGTCATTTTATATGGGCCACAGCACAGACTGGTGAGAAAGCAGGGCATGCAGAGAAGCATCTCAGTAGCTGCTTTGCAGTAATGGGAGTGCCACGGCGCATTAAGACAGACAATGGGCCTGCCTACTGCAGCAAAAGAATAAAACAGTTCATGCAAATGTGGGGGATAGAACACGTGACAGGCATCCCTAATTCCTCAACAGGACAAGCAATCTTGAGATCAAGAGCTAATGGTACCTTGAAAAGATATCTAGGTAAATACAAAGATATTAAAGAGCTGCAACAAAGGTTGCTAAAGCGTCTATTTGTCTTAAATCACCTGTGTGTTTTTGGGGAAAGCAAAGTTCCTGCTGTAATTCGTCATTATATAACAGAGAAAGATAGTGTGAGGCAGGACATATAGGTAAAATACAGAGATCCCAAGACAGGACAACGGCAAGGTCCTGCTAAGGTATTATACTGGGGCCGCGGATATCTTTGTGTTTCTACCCCTACAGGATCTTCCCTTAGTGGCGCCTCCGTTGGTGTTTGGTCAAGGTTGAGCTCAAGGAGAAGCTCATCCCACACTCCCCACACTCGTAGGGCCTCTCCCCAGTGTGGATGCGCTGGTGGATGATGAGGTGGGAGTTGTGCTTGAAGCTCTTCCCGCAGTCGGGGCAGCGGAAGGGCCTCTCCTCTGTGTGAATCCGCTCATGTTTGAGGAGATCAGAGCTCCTTTGAAACCTCCTCCCACACTGGGGACACTCGTAGGGGTTCTCCCCAGTGTGGATGCGCTGGCGTTTTCTCAGGTCGAAGTGCCACCCATAGCTCTTCACACATTCCAAGCAGGTGTAGGGCCGTTCCCCGGTGTGGATCACCTGGTGCCGAATCAGGGCCGTGCTTCCTCTGAAGCTCTTCCCACCCTCCCCACACTTGTAGGGCTTTTCCCTAGAGTGGATCTTCTGGTGGTCCGTCAGCTGGCACTTCATGCTGAAGCTCTTCCCACCCTCCCCACACTTGTAGGGCTTTTCCCTAGAGTGGATCTTCTGGTGGTCCGTCAGCTGGCACTTCATGCTGAAGCTCTTCCCACCCTCCCCACACTTGTAGGGCTTTTCCCTAGAGTGGATCTTCTGGTGTTCCGTCAGCTGGCACTTCATACTGAAGCTCTTCCCACACTCCCCACACTCATAGGGCTTTTCCCCAGTGTGGATCCTCTCATGTTTCCTCAGGCCAGAGCTCTGGCTGAAGCACTTCCCACATTCCCCACATTCATAGGGCTTTCCCCCAGTGTGGATCCTCTGGTGTTGCATCAGATGGCCCTTCTGGTTGAAGCCCATCCCACATTTCCCACACTCATAAGGCCGGTCCCCAGTGTGGATCACCTGGTGTTGCATCAGTTGGCCTCTCTGCCTGAAGCTCTTCCCACATTCCCCACACTCAAAGGGCTTCTCCCCAGTGTGGATCCTCTGGTGTTGGATCAGGACGGAGTTGTGGCTGAAGCTCTTCCCACATTCCCCACACTCATAGGGCCGTTCTCCAGTGTGGATCACCTGGTGCTGCCTCAGGCTGGAGCTCCAGCTGAAACGCTTCCCACATTTCCCACACTCATAGGGCCGTTCCCCAGTGTGGATCACCTGGTGCTGGATCAGGTGCAAGCTCCACCTGAAACCCTTCCCACATTCCAAGCACTTGTGCTGCTTCACCCTGCCATGAGGCTTCTCCACCAGCTCTGAGCTCTGCCTGGATCTCCGGCCGCCTTCCTGGCTCAGGGGGGCTCTTTCCTCCCTGCAGCTCCCTGGGCTGGGTTTGCAGCCCCTCCTCGTGCGGAATCTCCAGGGCTTTTCCTCCTCCATCCAGACACACCATGGGAATGACTTCTTCTTCTTCTTCCTCTGCTCCATTTTCTGCAGTGTGGGTGGCACAAAATAATTCGAGAATAAAGCTGCAATGCAGAGGTTATGTGGAAAGTCAAGGGATGAGTTATTGGTGGATAAATAGAAATAAAGGACGTTTTAAGAGTTATTCGATAAAGCAACTTTAAAAGACCTTGAATCTGTACATCTTGTAGCCATTTTGTTGTGCTTTTCTCGGGAGCTGAGTCTGGTGTGGACAGCGGGCAAAACTTCAGAAAAGATAACAATAAACCAGAAGCTGAGACCGAAGGAGTCCTGTGCATCTCCTTTTCCTGGCACAGAACTGCCTCAAGAGGGTTTCCCCCATCCAGGAAGCCCCTGAGGGGCCCAACGCCAGGGATGAACACCCACACGCTCTGATTAGCTGAGCGCTGCCTGAGGGTGGGGCTGCAGCAAGGCTACAACAGAGGCATCTCTCCAAACACCGCAGTCAAGAACACTGGATGGATGGACACCAGGAGGAAACACAGAATTTTCAAGTGTTAAAAAGCAGAATAACTGAGGCTCCTGACCTGGCCCTCCTAGACAAGGAAAAAGATTTTCAATGATAGGTGGATGTTAAACAGGGCCATGCCAAAGGAATTATTGGGCTGAAATGGTTAACCCAATGAGTGGCCTCATTTTCCAGGGCTTTTCCTCCTCCTCCATCCAGACACCACTGGGAATCAAAAATCCTGGTCTGGGGAGAAAAAACAAGATGAGAACGCCTTGGACTGGGAGCTCCTCCGAGCCCAAGTTTTTCTCAGAAAGTCATTGGCCATCTTGTGTCTGTAAGAACCTCCAAAACACTGACATTCAGCACAAAAATCCTCCAAACATCAAGACACGGACAAAAATCTTCCCAAACATGAAGATACAGCAAAAATCCCCTCCAAAATACAAAGATTGAGAGCCCACAAAAAACCAAAGCATCAACATTTAACCAACAAAAAGCTCAGAAACACCAAGACTCACCCCAGTGAAAATCTTGGATCCCCTTCCCTGGTCACCTGCTACATGTAGGAGGGGGCAACGCTCCTAGGGC